GAGCAAGAGGAGAAGAAGAAGGTGGCGGCGGGGTTTTCTCGTGAACAGGAGAGAGAAGAGAGAGAGATATATATATGTATATATATATAATTAGGATTAGGGTTTAAATGAGAAATAATTAAAATAAAATAATTATGAGTACTTAAAATTAATCTAATTATAGAAAAATTATCTACAAATGAAAACGTACATGTTGTGCTAATACAATAATTGATACGAAATAGTCGAAAAAACCCATATTGTACAATTAGACGGAAATAATTAATAAATAAAATATATTTACTTATATTTAAAATCAAATAATTATGGGATAATTATATACACAGTAAAACGTACTAGTTATACTAATATGACAGATATTATGTAACAGTTAAAATAATACAACAAATTATACCAAAATACGTAATTAATAATACAAAGTATTATACAAAATATTACGTAATAATATTAATAGTACAACATATTATTTAAAATAATATGTAATAGCACCGATAACACAACAAATTAATTCTAGAAATTTTTACCACACAAAATAAATTTATAAATATCAAAATCATTTAAACAAATATATAATCAGATTTTTAAATCATAGAAAATTGTAGAAAATCGAGAAAAATACAAATACTTTTTTTTAAAATCATAATTAAATATTTTAAAATACCAAAAAATTATTTTAACTAGTATCAAAATTCATGATCCTTACAGTGTGTACACCAAAAAAATTATTTTAACTAGTATCATTTAAACAAATATATAATTCAGATTTTTAAAAAATTATTTAAAAATCCTTTGCTATGCCACCCATGCCAAGTGAAATATATTGCAAGGGATGTTAACATCTAAAGGAAACTTGTTTAATGAATCCTCAAAATTTTAGCTTAATTAACAGACGATTAAGCTTAATGTGTTCACATATAATACAAGTAAGAAATACAAGAAGTTTCTCTTATGAAGCTTCTCACTTTGGTTTTGGAGCATTCAAGATCATCCTTTGATCTAATGTTGATTGCTATCATCAACCCAGAAATGATGTTACAGGAGAATTGCATTGTTAAAATCACACGTCCACACAAAAAGCGCCACAGAAATAACAATTTGACTAAAGAACAGAATAAGAAACAAATTTTATTAAGCAATTGTTCTGCAAGACTCCGGTTTTAATCAAAATTAGACTACAATAATAAATAAAAACAAAATTTCACACAAATCTCACTACAACCAATTTATTTTGCCATTTGCGTTAAAAACAACTCTAGATCCTGTTTGGTTCGGCCAAAATTTCAAGAAAACACATGAAAACTAAAGGAAAATTAGAACAAAAAACAGGTTATAGGCCATTATAGAATTTCTTAACTCATGTTTGTTTAAAAAAAAAAAAAGATTAGCTTTCTATAAAGTGAGAAACTAGCTCATTTTCAAGATTCCCCAAATCCTCTTTTTTCGGTTCTAGCTTGGCTAAAAAAGCTGACAACCCAAATCCTCTTTCTATAGTCAATTAATCACCTGCCAATCAACTTTTCATTAAAAAATCAAAAATTATCTTTTAAAAAAAATCAATTCCAAGATACTTGAGTTGTATCTTAATAAGACTTAACATTTAAAAATGAGTTGTGTGTCTTGAATGTGAGTTTTTAAAGATAATTTTACGTCCATAGCGAAAATTTTGCCCATAAGGTGATTGATTGCACACAAAAAAAACTTACTTTAAAAATGTTTTATGTATAAATTAAAATTGAAAGATAAATTCTCTATATTTACCGTATTTTAAAGCGTTATTTTGGGGGAAATCTCTTTTAATATTTAATAGTATAAAACTTCATGCCTCCTCTTTAGTGCGTATATAAATCCATTTCAACTATAGCTTTCCTCCCACGGGGCCTACAAAGATGGTTGATGTGTATGCTCTCTGCTCAACGAACCGAACATCCTGTTCGCTTTCTTGCAATTAGAATGCCCATTTAAGTTGAGCCCCCCTTCCCGGCTTTTTTTTTTCTCGGAAGAATTGAGGCTACTAAACTTGTATGTTTGCTAAATGATGATAGAATACAATCCATGAGATTATTATTAAATGTATAGAAAAAAAAAGTAACAAGAGGAGACGACTAGGAAAGAACAAAAGGCTTTTTGGGTATATTTTCCTTAAATTTTTACAATTTTAAATTTAGTCCCTCAAATCAATAAATTTGCTATCAGCTCTCCAAATTCTACAAGTTGTTGCATATTGATCCATCGAGTTCTGTTTTCGGGGGAATGTTCCTCCGCTAAGTTAACTTTTGACATAAAACGCTCGTTGTATCCTCGAGTGTAACATAGTTCCCAACGCAACGCCTGCCCGTTTCAATGAAATTCATTTACACTCCCAACCCGTTTAAAAGCCACACCCATTATTAAACCTCCTCCTTCCCCAATAGTTAGCTGGTGCTCCGTGATTTGATAAGGGTAAAACTGTAAATGATCATCACTAGCCCAAAGGATTAGTACATTGGTCAGAAATTCTAACAAATTAAAGTGACCAATTGGAAACAAATTATGACTTAAGGACGTGATAGCGATTTCAATGATTTGAAAAACTAATATCAAGAAAGTAAATATTGTAGGGACTAACGTCAGAAAAACGCAAAATTAATTTTAAAGTACAACGCAAGACATTAGCACCAGTCTGGGAAAATAACTTTAAAGAAGAACTAACCCCGTCATAACAAAATTACAAATCGTGCGATTCTTAAAAAAAAAGGAGAAACATTGCAAATAAAGAAAAGTGCAGGTTCTTTAAACAAACTACCTATAACGAGAAAACGATTCACTTTTACCCACCGTAAGATTTCAAACTCGAAACACCCCCTCCAAATTCTCCCTCCCCCAATACGAACCAAAAAACAAAAAACCAAATCAAAAAGGGAAAAACCCTGGCTGTTTGGTTCATGTTTTTTAGGTGGTAAAAAAGGGGAAAGCTGCCAAAAATGTCAGCTTTTTGGCAGCTTTCTCCCAAAATCAGCTCTTAAAAAGCAGATTTTGGTGGAAAGCTGCCAAAAAGCTGACATTTTTTGCAGCTTTCCCCTCTTTTACCACAAAAAAAAAACTAATCCAAACAGCCACCCCAACTTTCCAAGATTCAACCTTTTTCAATGGCGAGAAAGAAATCCTCAGCCACTGGAGTGAGAAAAAAAGAAGAGGATGTTGGCATCAAACCCCAATCCAAAAGCCGTGGAGACCTCTCCCCTGACCACAAATTAGGCGATCTCAAGACCCTAAACCAGCTCCTCCTCAAATAAACCACGGAGAAGAGGTTCGAGATCGATCATCTCAAGGCCCAGATCGAGGAGATCAGCGAATCCCAGCCCTTCGTCTCCGATCTCGGGAGCGAGGTCAGCCGCATTGTTTTCGCTGAAAAGTTCGAACTTTTGTATGAAGAGGAGGAAGGGATGAAGAATGAATTGGGGCTTGTCATTTCTGAAAGGGGTGTGCTGAAGAAAGAGGTCGTAAACTTGAGGTGAGAGTTAGGGATTTGGAGAGGGGTCATGTTGAAATTAGGGAGAAACTGGGGCAAATGGTTGTCGAGAGGGACGAGATGAAGATAATGCGGAGGGAGGAGGAAGAGGCGCTTGAGTCGTCGAAGAACTCGATGGAGGATGCGCGGAAAGAGAAAGAGAGGATGAGTGAAAGATATGAAAAGGTGATTATTTTGCTGAGGGATGAAATTGGATCAAACCTTGGAAAGATTGAGCATTTAGAGGAGGGTAATGATTCTGTGAAGATTACTCACTTGTTGGAAGGGCAGGTTAGAGCTTTGAAGGATGGCGTTCGTTTGTCGAAGAAGGAAGAGGAAGGGTTGAAGGCCAAGGTTGTTGGGTTAGAGGTGAGGAATAAGAAGGCCCTAGAGGAGATTGGTAGGTTGCAGACGGGTGTTGTTATCTTGGAGAGGGAGAAGAGTAGTAGTAGTTTGAGTCGAAGATTAGAGAGATTTCTTCGAAAATGGAAGAGATTTCTTCGACAGAGAAGGATGAGGCTGAGAGAGCTAAGGATGAGCAAAAAGTCATGATCACTAAGAGCAAGTCCAGTAAGCTCCCAGTTGGGAGTCCTAGTCAGCAAGCTCTCAAGAGCTCTCAAGCATTTTGGTATAAAAAATTATAAAAATAGGCCTTGTGAGCATCTCCTTATTTTATGGAGCTCCAACAAGCTCCTAGTTAGGAGCTCCAACAATATCAAAAAAAACCCTCTTCTATTTTAATATTTTACCCATTACTTTTAATTATATTTAAACCTCTTGTATTTTATTTCTAACCGTTGGATACGGCCTTCAAGGGAGCGCACACGATCTTCGAGGCAACCCACGGTCTTCGAGGGAGCGCACACGGTCTTCGAGGTAACCCGCGGCTTTCGAGGGAACGCACACGGTCTTCGAGGTAAAAGGCGGTCTCCGAGGGAACGCACACGGTCTTCGAGGTTGGGCACGAACTTCGAGGTATCGCAAACTTTGACCGTCAACCGACTGATTCCTATAAAATTCGATGCCTTCTCACCTCAACCAATCGTCTCCCAGAACAAAATGTCTAGCTCATCTAGCTCTAACGATGATGAAATGATGAAGACGTTCTTTCTTATGGGAGCTGCTGTCGTCGAGGAAGAAGAACAAGGGAAAAGTTCAACTTCAGTTCAACACAAAAGACGGATCGGTAAAAGTACGTCGCTTGAGAGCGTGAAGAGGTTCGTTCGATCGATTATCAACATCTTTGGGGAGGAATACCTTCGTTCACCGACTAATGAAGACGTTGCACGCCTGCTCGAGGAGGGTTCACAACGAGGTTTTCCTGGTATGCTTGGGAGCATCGACTGCATGCACTGGGTATGGAAGAACTGTCCAACCGCCTGGCAAGGTATGTATACTGGGCATTTTCATGAACCTACAATTATTTTGGAGGCCGTAGCTAGCAAAGATCTTTGGATATGGCATGCCTTCTTTGGACTGCCGGGGTCTCACAATGACCTCAATGTGCTACATCGTTCACCGGTTTTCGCACAACTTGCGGAGGAAAGAGCTTCACCGTGCAACTATACTGTTAATGGCCACGAGTACAATATGGGATACTATCTCGCCGACGGGATTTACCCAGAGTGGTCCACATTAGTGAAGACTATTCCAGCATCGCAAGGAAACAAGCATAAATACTTTGCTCAACAACAAGAGAGCGCAAGAAAAGATGTTGAGCTAACTTTTGGCGTGTTGCAAGCTCGATTTGCGATTGTTCGTGGACCAGGACGTTTCTGGCAACCTAGTGTGCTGAAAGACATCATGACAGCTTGCATCATAATGCATAACATGATCGTTGAAGATGAACGAGATTGTCAATTGGATAACAACTTCGACTTTAATGATTCGATACCAGTCGTTGAACCTTCTCATGTGCAGACGGTGCCTCTAACTGAGTTCATCCAAAATCATCATCGGATCAGGAACACGCAAACAAACAAATCACTAAAGAATGATTTGATCGAGCATCTGTGGCAGCTCAAGGGATCCATCGACGAGCCTTGGACATCCACCTCTCCAATATCTCTGCCTGACGCATTTCAAAGTATTGTCGTTGAACTGAATTGAGTGTTGAGAGATCCATCTTCATGATATCATCATCTTGTTTCTTTTGTTTTAGCTCTATTTTTTTATTTGTGGTTTCCTTCATCCACGCGAAAGCCTCTCCTATGATGGACTTAGCGGACTCAGAGTTTTCCACATTTTGTTTCCTCTTGAGCTTTGCCGCTTTCCTCCCTTCAGGCCTTGCTATAACATCTTCTGAGTCAGTGTTCAACTCGATGGGGGTCGCATGCATGGAATTGTTTGGTGAGGAATCAGAGTATGTGGTTCTTCTCGGCTGTGATCGAATCTTATTGTAAGTTTCCATTTGTTGGATCCACTTTTGATGATGACGCAACTCAACCCAGCAATGGTCAAACACGAATGGCTTACCATAAAGAGATTGGTATAATTCTTTTACTTCTGCAGTCTACACAAGAGTTAATTTTAGAATAATCAAACATAATTAAACATATTGAATCTGAGCAAAAATAATCAAACATAATTAAATATTTACCTGGTCAATAATTCCCGTACCAGATCTTTGTCTTCCTTCAATCTGAGCAACGCACCCACAAAATTTGTTGACGGACAATTGAATCGTTGACCAACGATGCATCATTTGGTTTGGCGTGCGGCTCGTTGGATCGGTGGAGTATAGGATAAAATAGTCGTTAGCTCGGTGCCAAAACTTATCTTTGTGTTGCCCCGTACCTTGGATGGCGTCTTGGCTCATGTTCAGCCAAGCAGACACAAGAAGCTTATCCTCGTGGACAGTCCAATTTTCGGACCGCGTGTAAGCCTTCTTCTTCTTTGTGGTCGGTGTTTCTTGGGATGGCACTTGTTGTGTTGCCGATTGCGAGAACTCAATGGGGTGACCTTCTTCTACGCCTTTTGTATAGAACGACGGGTATAAGGTTGATCCTTCACCGGTAAGGAGTTGTGAATAAAAGTTTTGGGGTGGATCCATGAGATTTGTAATTTGATAGGAAACTATAGAGTTTTTTTATGAGAGAATTGAGAATTGAGAATTGAGAGTTGTGTGGAAATCTTTGTGGAGTGAATTGAGAATGAGAATTGAGAATTGAGAGTTGTGTGGAAATCTTTGTGGAGTGAATTGAGAATTTATAGATGAGTTTTTACTGTTCATGCCAGTGTTTTCATGGAGTGAATTGAGAATTTATAGATGAGTTTTTACTGTTCATGCCAGTGTTTTCATCTCAACGGATAAAAAATTTTCACTCTAACGTTTATTTTTTAACGGTTCAATTCAACTCAACGGCTCACTTCTACTCACCATCAACATCTCAACATTTATTTTTTCCATCAACATCTCAACGTTCAATTCAACTCAACTATAGAGTTTCACTCAACGTTTATTATATTTTTTCTTTTCACTCAAAGCAACAAACCCACCCAATCTCAAAATCCTCTCCCCGTCATCCCAAATCATCTCCCCAACCGAGCTCCTTCTTCTTCGTTTCGCCAAATCTTCATCTCCTTCATCGCCCTTCTTCTTCGTTTTCGCCAAATCCAGTCCAGGCCGTTCATCTCCCTAACCGAGCGCCCCAAATCAAGGGTTCCCCAACCGAGCCCCCGTCGAATCAAGCCCTCTCCCGCAACCTCCGCCGCCGCCGTCGAATCAAGGGTTCCCCAACCGCACCGCACAGAAAAGGTTTGATTTTTGGCTTCAATTTTGGTTGGATTCACTATTTTTTTCAGATCTGCAATTGTGAGCTTGTGGGGGGGTTTTCGTCAAAATCTTTACCACTTGGGAGCTCTGAAGGATCCATCGCCACGTAGGAACGGAGAGCGGCCTTGGGAGCGGCTTCAGATCTTGCTGGAGGAGGGGTTGGCAACAACCATCGCCACGTCAGCCTTCAGAGCCGAGTTCGGAGCTTGCTGGACTTGCTCTAAGAGCAAGTGCAGCAAGCTCCCAATTGAGAGTTCTAATCAGCAAGCTCCCAATTGGGAGTTCTAATCAGCAAGCTCCCAATAGCTCTCAAGACATGACCCACCATTTCCAATGTCACATCACCCTCCTAACTAATGTTGATCTCCAACAAACTCCTAGTTAGGAGCTCCACAATATCAAAAAAACCCTTTTCTATTTTAGTTTTGTAACAATATCAAAAAAACACTCTTCCATTTAACAACTATTTTCAACTTGGGTTTTGGGTTTAAAAGTAGGAGGGGTTTTGTAAAAAAAAAAATTTAATGCTTAGGAGCTCACAAGAGCTCCGGTGGGCCTCACTGGCCACATCAGCCCAGGGAGCCCCTTGGGAGCTTGCTGGGAGTTTGTTGGAGGAGGGGTTCACGAGCTCCCACTGCCACGTAGGCCTTGAGAGCGGCGGTAGGAGCTTGGTGCACTTGCTCTAAATTAAAGAAAGAAGTAGAGAAGTTGGGATTGCAAGTGGTCGAGTTTGATAAGATGTTTGTTCATTATCAAGCCCAGTGGCTAGATGAAAAAGATGTAATCATGTAATCAAGAAAGAGTTTGCTGCTTTTGAGAAGGAGATGAAGGACGAGGCAAAAGGGTTCAACGCCGAGTTTAGGGAACTTGTGATAAAGCTTGAAGATTTGAGCTCGAAGACGTGGGAGATTTCGGTGGAGAAGGGTGAGATTGAGAATGTGAAGGCAAAGCAAGATGTGGTGATTGTTGAATCGAAGAAAGAGGTCCAAAAGCTTAGCTCCAACATTTCTGAACTCAAGGATAGGTGCAGAGATTATGGTATGAGGAGCTCGCAGTTGCAAGATGAGAGAGATGAAGCTAGGAATGAGCTGGGTGACCGAAGGGAGGAATCGAGAAAGCTTCTCTTGCAAGTTCAGGAGTTAAAGAAGAGCAAGGATGAGTATGTGGAAGAGCTCGAACAACTAAATTCTTCACTCCACAGGCTAGCTTCAGAGAAAGGTGATAGGAAAAGTCGAATCATATCGTTTAGAGAAAAGAGACGAATTAACTATTTGGGCGATAGAGAATCAGAGATACATATATGCAAATGCTAGTACCTAATGTAGTAAAAATGCATGTATGTATTGCAAAGGCTAGTATATAATTGGCCAATGAGGGGATGGGTTTTTTATGAATTGGCTAGTATAAAATGTGTGGAATTAGAGAAGAATTTTATTTTTGTGCTTTAATTTGTCTAATTTATATTTTAGATGAAGTTGCCTGTATTTTTTTTAGACGTATTCATTATTTAGCTTTAAATATTAGTTGAGAGATGAATTGAGTTGTTGAAATTATTTCTTACTTTATTCTTATAAAATCAATACCTAGAATGTGGCCCACATAGGTATCACTTTACAATTTTATATCTTTCAATCCAAACAACAAATTTACCATAATGTTAGGGTTCACAAGGAATCCAAACCAAACAATATAAACACTCAAAAGGAAATTAATGAGGTGAACAACTACTTTTCATGTAGTATCATAAATATCAAAGTTTACACAATGCATCCAACGAGCCCTAATAAGAGATCACATTTAGCATGAGTAATGAGAAAGATCAAATTTAGCAGGTATATTATATTCTATTACATGCGTCATTTAAATTTATTTTAAAAAGAAAAAAATAACACATTAAAAATCTAACAAGTGAGGTTACAAGCTACTCACTGTAGCGCGCACACAATCAGCTCCTCAGATAATCAAAATCAACATTTTTCATATAATAATCACTATTTAAATCTACATATATACAAGTAGTACTTTTATATGCAAGTTATAATTTCTTAACTATAGATGCTATCTATGATTACTTTAATTTCCTCAGACTTGGTCCAGAGTAAAGCTCTTCAATGAAATCAGTTTTAAACACAGAATAGGCCAAGTTGGCAGACGATCACTTTCCTTTAGGCGATATTAACCTTTCCAAAACCCAACTCCCTCCAAAATAATCATGTTTGCTATATTCACTTCTAAACAGTAATTTTGGGAGTTGGATTGCCGAAAATGCCCTTTTGATGTTGAGGGTGTTTCTGGAATTTAATCCTCACACACCCCCATGTTTTGGTTTAGGAGAAGGGCAATTTAGTCCTCACACACCCCCAAAGTTACTATTTGGGAGTGTGAATAGTTGGACCCCAAAATAATTCGTTCAAAAAATCAGGAAATTAATCCACTAAATCAAACAAGATATTTCAAACCCCCAAAAGTCGTACTTAGTCAATCTCATTAGATCATAAAGCCCATAATTACACCAAAAACACAAAATTAAAAACAAAAAAGGAAACAAGATTTCTAAAACTCCTGAGACGCGGATCCAACTTCTCCGCTTTTCCCCTTCCCCTGCTTCTTCGGCAACAAAACCTGATGAATGTTCGGCAAAACCCCGCCATTAGAGATCGTGATCCCAGCAAGCAGCTTCCCAAGCTCCTCATCGTTCCTCACCGCCAGCTGAATGTGCCTCGGGATAATCCTGTTCTTCTTGTTATCCCTCGCGGCGTTCCCAGCCAACTCCAAAACCTACCCAAAAGAAAAATCAAATTTTGATCAAAACCCAGATCATGAAACAGTCAAAGCCTGGCCAAAATCAAAATTTTGACCGTTACCCAAGTCAGAAGACAATCAAAAGCAAGGAACTCTGGGCTTACCTCGGCGGCGAGGTACTCGAGGACGGCCGGAGAGGTAGACGGGGGCTGCGCCGACCCGACACGCTGAGGCGTAATCGGCCGCTTGAGGTAGCGGGCGACCGGCCGACGGGGGAATCTGGAGGCCGGCCTTCAGAGAGCGGGAGACGACTTGATCGGCTTTGCGGCGGCGCCTCGCCGCCCTCGCTGAGGGTTAGCGGTAGAGCTCATTGTATATTAGGGTCTTAGAGAGAGAGAGAGAGAACAGCTTTTTGGAGATTTGAGAGGGATGAATTGTGAGTTTATTAGGAGAGGGGAGAGTTGATTTTTAAAGAGGGAGGGGGAGGAGAGGGATGCCACGGATTGCCAGCGTGGAGGGCTTTTGACGGTTGACATTTGATAGTGTGATTTGAATCGGACGGTTTTGATTAAGGAGGTGGGATGGTCACATG